GTCTGTTTGTAAGAAAGTCTGCTGGTCTATTCGATGTATCCCATATGGGTCAAGTTCGGTATGGACGAAAGAATCAATTGTCTTTCATAACTGAGTTCTTTATATATACAGTATTTATGGTCGACATAGAGTTTCCTTTTTGGAGCGCCTAGTTGTAGGAGACATAGCTGCACTTCCACCTTATCACGCTGTCTTGTCTTTACTAACCAATGAACAAGGAGGAATCATCGATGATACGATAGTTACCAATATGGGTGATCATATGTAAGTGAGTGTATTGAATGTATTGGATATATTCTTAGGGCATAAAAGTAATATGGTGATCAACGCTTGTTGTCGTGACAAAGATATGTCCCATTTACAACATTATGCAGAACAGGCACGAAGTAAAGGTGAAGAAGTGATCGTCGAACTACAAGAACAAAGAGGATTAGTAGCATTACAAGGTCCCAATGCTATGAAAGTGTTATCGAAACATGTTACTGAAGACTTGAGTATGTTGTATTTTATGAATGCCCGAATGATGTGGGTAGATGGTGTGGAGTGTTTGGTGAGTCGTTGTGGTTACACTGGGGAAGATGGATTTGAGATATCGGTTCCTAATGATTCCATTCAAAGAATATTTGATGGATTATGTGATTCTTCTATGGTTAGGCCAAGTGGATTGGGAGCTAGGGATAGTTTGAGATTAGAAGCTGGTTTATGTTTGTATGGAAATGATATGGATGATCGCACTACTCCAGTAGAAGCTTCTCTTAGTTGGACGATTGCAAAGAGTCGTCGCGTAAGTGATGATGGGTTGATTGATTGTTCACCATGTAATGAAATAGAATGATCGATAGGAAAGTGGAGGATTCTTGGGAGATAAAGTTATATTGAAGCAGTTGAAAGAAGGAGTCGAACGCCGTAGAGTGGGATTCCTATTACAAGGAGCTCCTGCTCGAGGTCATGAAAGTATCTTGGTAGATAATCAAGTTATTGGACAAGTCACAAGTGGTGTCTTTAGTCCATGTTTGGGTAAACCTATTGGAATGGGTTATGTGGAAAAGAAATGGGCAAAGTCAGGAACGTGCATTCAAGTAGAAATAAGACAAAAACAAGTTTCAGGTGAACTTGTCAAAATGCCATTTGTTCCCAATCATTACTATAAAGGAAATTAAAAGTACTCTCTTCATGAGAGGTCTTAATTATGACTATTCGAAAATATTCAAATGACGCAAGTTTATTTCTACTCCAACAACAACACAATACTTGGCTATTCACAACACAAATATTCTATGATTACCCATTCGAATGGACATTTCGGACTTGTTCCCAAACATAACATCAAGTTTTCATTTCTCCACATTTCATTCTTCCTTGAATAGTAAAACAAGATGAGAACCCATTATGACAACGATACACGTTCCATCGACACCTTTTTCCTAGCTTCCATTTCCCTCAACTTGGTAGAACTTAGCTTTTCAGCGGTACCCATCTTTGTTAACGACAATACATTCACTGAAAAAATATCTAAAGGTTCCAACCCTCTTTCCGCTCGTTTAGGGTTTACCGATTGCGCATTAGCATATGTCTCTTCTGAAACTACAAGAGCTTGGATCGTACCATCTTCTATCGTAGGACCTTCCACATCATTCAACTCTACCGCTGTGACACACAAGTGATGTGGACGAATGCTTTTCACAAATTCCACAACTTGAGCAACTCGCTGTTCATAAGGCTCAATCAATTCCTTCCACTGCTTATTTTGAAGCAGTTTTGAACCCGTTACTCCAATTCTCAAGTGCCGACTACAACTCCAGGCAGCTGCGCTCAACAATAAACGATGCCCTGCATGCAAACGATCAAACGTACCACCTACTGCTACCACTTCATAAGGAGGGTTGCGACCCTCCACAAATCGATCCCAATCACCAGGTACCTTCTCATCCACCACTTTCTCCACGTAGTCATCTTCCGCTGACAGTGGTAATTCTACTGCAGCTACTCCCATTCGAAAATAGCGTCGAATACTGGCAACATCTCCAGGCATTGTCAACGCTGCGTCGATGCTATCCAAATACTCCACGTCCTCGAGTTTCCAACCCAGGTTGTCCTCCTCACCAGTTGAACTCCACTCTTCTCCATCTTCTGCTACTGAAAACAAGTTTTCATCTTGGGTCTGTGAGGAGACAGTGTTTACACATAATCTTTTCCCCGAATAGTGAAATACAACTTTACAGTCCAGTCGTGTCCTTCCACTTTCGATGACCACGGAATACAAAGCAGAGAGGATGTACCTTGCTGTCGCAGGCCATTTTGCCGCGTCCAGTGCTACATACAAATATAAAGCTCTTTTTGTAGCTTTCACAGCAGCCAAAACGGCGTGTTTGGGAATTTGTAAGTGCATCTTTCTTCCGTTGGGTTGTGAAAGGGGTCTAAAAACACAGGGTAATGTAAACCAACAAGTTTTTGCTCTCACGGATGATGAAGAAGAAAGCAAAGGAGAACAAGGTAAAGACTGGGAAATAGGTTGAGGAGTTGATTTGGGAGAAGATATCATATTGTATGTGATACTTTATCACACGACCCTTGTCTCATCATCTTTTCCAACATCTCTGCTTTACCAATGAAAAAAAATGCTATTCAACGATGGCGCCATTTTCTTTTTCTGATTTGTCCTAATTGTGTTTCCACTTGATCCAATTCTCTACTCAAAGCATGAGTATTCTTCAAATGTGCCATTCTTATCCACGAAGGAACATCATCGATACCAATAGCAATGAAAAACCGCAACGCTAAGAACAGAGTCATCTATTTCTTGAAACCATTCCCTATCCTTACCTACTATAACATGTTCCAATACAACAGCTACAAATAATCGAGCTGTAGCACTCCATGGGAAAACTTGTGATATCTCTTCACCATTTGTAACAAACACGATTCCCAAGTTGGTCATCACCGAAGCAATAGAAATAGCTTCCAACGCAAAGTACCATGCACCGATAAAAACTCCACGATGTGGAAATGGCCGTCGTACCCAATGTATCAATTGATAACGTTCCCAATAGATTTCCACATAACCACTTAACAACGATAACAATGCACCCAATGGAAACGCAGCAGAAAAGAGAATGATTTGGCTAAATTGTCTCATCAACTCCAAATACTGATCAAATACACCACCGTAGGATGGCAACCCATATTGTTGAATGGCAACTACATCTACTTTTTGCCAATCTTGAAAACGGTCACCACTTTTCATAAAAGCAGATAACTTTTTTCTATATATTCGGTTATAAATAGCAAGCAACAAAGTCTCCAATATATTCCAAGCAGTTACATTGAAAATCAAAAGGAGGATGACAATGAAGAACGAAGACGAAAGAAATCTCTTTCAAAAAATGCCGAATACAACAACGACATATTCATATTGAAGAATTGAAAGATGACTAATTTGGCTACTTGATGATTCTCGAACTCTGTCTGGGTTTTGTGGTTTTCATGTTGGGTGAGCCATTCAGCTATATGAGTATAAGTGTATTCCAATACATACACAACCAACACATAACAGAGCGTAGGTATGGAACTCTTCCATTCAATCTGTCCCTCCCATTGAGTAAACGCAAACATAATGCCAATGGAAATCAAAAGTATCCAAACCACAATCAACCAACAAATAGTGATTCTCAATAGTCTTTTCCAATAAGGATACACAAGTACTTGTTCTCCTGTAATAGGATCTATTCCCCAATCACCAAAGTATTCGGTACGAATATCTTCCTTCCACTCTTCCATCCAGTCCTTGGCTTGTCCCATTTCTATAAAAGACCATCGATGACACACCTGTGCATTGGTTCTTTTCCAACTTTCCAAAAAGAAAACGGACCATATCACTGCACATAAACAAAATACAGCACCTATCAAACTAGAGGAATAATAAGATTCTAAGAACCAAGTCAAACAACCTAGTATTGCCAATGGAATAATTCTTGAGAGGTAGCAAGCATGAAAGGTGAAATACAAGGCAATCTCGTCCCCAAAATAGTCTCTCAACTCTTCACAAGTAAAAGGCTCCAATCGAAGAATATTCCAAATACGCATTAAAGAAGCTGACTTTTTCAAATGTTCTTCATTATGTAAAGGAAAGATGGCTAGTAAATAATTTCGTCTCTCTAACCACTGTACTAGGGTCTCCTTCACTTGACATCCTAAACAACTTCAACAACAATACTTGAGACGATAAAAAGTCCCGTACCAGGAAAATACTTGGAATCAGCACTAGTAGAGTATAACAAGTATTCCGTCATAAGGAGTTGTTCTGAAGGTGGAAATAACCGTTCAATAGAACCATACTTTTCCAGAAAATCAGGTAAACGAGAGGCCTTGTGACAATCAGTAATAACAAAAACAACGGAAGAATACTTCTTACTGTAAAAGTTCGAAACACATTCTCTTTATCTATTTTACGAAACAGCAACTGTTCTGCCACAGGAGCTATTTGCGCTAATTGTATACGTATTGACAAGGGAATACTTGAACGGGTTCACTTTGAACTCACTCCCAAAACAAACACTTACTCTTCTTTATGGGCAAGTGACTGAGACGTTGTACTTTCTTTCCAACGCAAGTCTTTTGTATGAACATATAAACCTCTCCTTTCTAAACAACTTTTAATGCGATCAAATACAAAAGGAGGAGTATCCACTTTTAATATTATCACTATCGTTTCTTCAGATAACCAATTTGTCATAGCTTTACAATAAAACTAGAACAATACGATTGCCAACGACTCAACGCCACATAGGAAGGTAACAAGGATTGCAACTGTTCGAGTTCCTCATCGGATGAAAAAAGTATATTCACAAGATCAAAGGCAATGGCTTTTCGATTCTTAGTGATAAACGAAAACTCGAAATCATCACAGTCATGACATCTTAAATGACGAACAGTTATAAAACCTTTGGAGTTGGGATGAGGAAGCCTAGTTGAAAGTGACCAATTCAAGATACTAGTATTGAAGGAAAATTGAGCCATGTTTCCTCCAGGAAAAGATAATTTCACTCTAACCAAACGTTGTTGTTGTTGTTCATCATTCCAAGAGTTTTCCAAAACATCTAGTCGAGGTGAAGCATTGTCTTTGGATAGTTTGGTGGATAAAGGTAATGTCAAACCAAGTATACGACTATTTTGCTTCTCGAGATTATCATTCAAAGGATGAGAAGACATATAACCCCATTCAAACTTGGTTTCATTCAAGAAAGATTGAATACTTGGAATATCTTTGTAACCACCATAAGGTGATAGTTTACGTGCATCTAAACCTCGAAGAAACAAACCCTGCTTTTCCAACTTGCCATGGGTATCCATTACTCGTAAATGATCACAATAAAGTCGCTTTGGATATCTATCTGCATCGTAGGGAATTCTTATCATAGCAACCAGAAATAGACAACTAAAAAATAATAGAGCAACTGCTCTCTTGATGTAATGAAATGGTATGGAATAGGACATGCAACTAATCATCAAAGGGAAACTGGCCAGTACCGTGAAAAGAGAACATAAACCACCTATAATCATATCAGAAATGATTCGGTCACCTATGCGACCCATAATAGGCACAAAAGCTGCTATAGCCATATATCCACAAGGCAAACGAAAGATTGCAATCGGAATAAAATGAATGATACCGATAAGGGACTGCCATCGTTTGTCTCCCAAAGGTAAAAGATGACCAACTATTAGTGAGAATAGCAAATCCCAAGCAGGTAAATAGGATAACCTTAAACGTAAAGAAACAAATAGAATGAGCAGCGTAGCTTCAAACAGCATATAAGATAACCAAAGGGGTTCATAAACTATGCTATTCGAAGAGAATGAAATAAAATGTGAAGAAGCATTGCTCATTTTCCTAGACGCTATCCATATAGAAATACGACTCAGTAGTAAGGGAAGTACTTTCATCGTTACTAAAAGTCCCAAACTACCAAATATCCATTCAGCCAAACCAACTCTGCCATACCAAGACATACTTCTTTTGCAAACAGAATGTAGAAACCAACCAAAAGATATGCTCAACGTTAAAGTCAACAAACAACTCACTATCCAAACAGGATAAAAACATAAAACCAACTTGTAATCGACAAGGCCACTTCTCACTCTCTTGATAACTAAATTGAATATCAACAATAAAAGAATGAAAAAATAAACATTCCAATATTTTTCTAGACCAAATATGGTTATTAGACCCAATATATCATAATAAATGGATTTCTCATTCTATATATGCATACTCGATTATATCAAATGCAGCAATAATTTTATAAAGATACTATACCTGATACTGAGAATATTGATAAGCGTCGACAATCATATCTTCTTTCACAACCAATTGTTCAATTAGTTGTAAAGCACTTTCTCCCATATGTTGAACAAGACCCAAAGTTACTCTGTCTATTGCATCTCGACTCGTATGATATGTCTAGACAAAACCTTTTCAACGATAATAATTCTATTTTACCTACTGAACTAACCTCTCCCCGTATATAATTGGCCAAGTCAATTCCAGGAATCGAAGCCAGTTCCCAAAATACTCTAAAATCTGTTTCTGAAGGAATCAACTCCTTTTCAAATATATCTTGCGCAACGACTGAAGTATGTGGTCTAGTTACTGCTTTAGCATAAGCTCTTGACAACCAAGCATTTTTGGGTCCACTGCGAAATAATAATGCTAGACCTCCAGACCCACTACTTTCTAAATTCAACAAAGCACCCACTTTGGTTATCCATTTCCAACTGGTTACAAAGCCATGTGCTCCATTCAGAAATGTTTCTTCAGCTCCATTAAATAGAAAAATAACTGGATGTTTCAGTTCACTTGTATTCGGATGGCGTATCCACGAGTTGAGCATTTCTAACATAACACCACAAGCTATGGCATCATCACTAGCACCAGGAGAGCCAATGGCAGAATCTACATGTGCGTTGACAACCAATAAGCTACGGTCTCTTTCATCTTGCAAACGACAAGCGTTTTTCTTGCACAATATCACAATAATATTGGTAACATTCTGATATGTATAACAAGAGGTACGTGAAGAACGACGATGTCTTTGCGTGATATGTGTCCCACTCACCGTTTGCCACTCTAATTGCAAACTATAGTCGACAGAATTATCTTCAGCGTATTGTTGTATTTTCTCAACTTGCTTCCAAATATAAACTTGGGCACTTTCCAAGGATCTCGTACCAAACGCCCTTGGTCCAATCTTCGAAGAAAGATGGTCGATATGTTGAAACGCTCTTTCGGCTGAGAAGTAACCTATACTGGCTTCATTATCTGGTACGACGCGAGGCTCATGACTCCAACCCCAATAACTCAACCATACCAGAAAAGAACTAATTAATAATATGAAACTAACGTGAAACCACTGCTTTGTTCCACTCCACTGTGTCAACTCTCTATTGGTTCGACGACTTGAGTCCTTTGGTTCTTTCCACTCAGACGTTGACTTCTCAGTTGAACGTTTCTTAAGTCCGGCTTCAAAGGCTTTCATTTGAGATTCCTATTTTATTCTCCAAGTCAACAATCATCACCACATTCCCTTCTTTAGCAAATGTGGGGTTCATGAGACAGGCGACTATTCTTGCAAATGCAAAACATTCAGAATATATCTACAAACTCTAACCTATTAAAAAACTTATTCCACTCGTTTGAAATGTAACAGCGTCTGTCCAATCNGGTAGACGCTGAATGATATCCAATGTTTCGGGTGACGCACCAAAATAGGTGGACGTCATATCNACTGCAAAAGGCTCNTTCGTACTCGTATTCAATACAATACGAAATGAGGTTTCTTCNTAACTTCCAATGTGCCGAAGAAATCGAGTGCCATCNGAAAAAGGCTTTGGAACAGATTCTGAAAGTGACCAGGAAACGAGTGACGCATTCAATCGAAGACTTCCCCAGT